TACCAAGACAAGAAATGGGCCTGTACCCAGCCTAGGAGGAGAGAGACTCGGTGCGGGAGCTGGGATGGTGAAAGAGGCTGGGGGAGTCAAGGTGTGCTGGGCATGCTCAACTTACCCAGGGAAGGTACTGGGACCAGGACATGGGAGGCTGTGCAGTCCAGGAAAGTAAAGGGAGGTGAGGGTGGGACCAGGCTTAGAGGGTTCCTGGGGGCCATAGGGGGAACTGGGTTGGTCCAGATGCAAAGGATTAGGAAGCAGTGGCAACTCTGGGCCTAGTGGTTAGCCCAGGTGCCTGGGGTGCCAAGACAAGAAATGGGCCTGTACCCAGCCTAGAAGGAGAGACTCAGTGGGAGGAGCTGGGAGGGCAAAAGAGGCTGGAGAAGTCAAGCCTTGCTGGGCAAGCTGGACTTACCCAGGGAAGGTCCTGGGACCAGGACATGGGAGGCTCTGCAACCCAGGGAAGTGCAAAAGCGAGAATCAATTTTTTTTAAGAAAACCCTGTCTGTGAGTTTATTTGGTAAGACACTTAAGTCTTTTAGTGTACATAAAATTTTACATTACTACCCATAAAACATGTTAGTATGGAGAGTAGAGAGAAAATGTCTAAATAGATTTTATTGGGGAAGCCTAAGACATTAGAGTCTGTATCAGTTACTTTTCTCACTGCTGGGAAAAAGCACCTGCAAAAGCAATTTAAGAAAGAAAGGATTTATTTTGGCTTACAGTTTGAAGGTATGGTCCATCTTGGTGACAGGACTTTGAGACAGCTGGTCATGCTGTGTTTATAGTCAGGAAACAGAAATATGAATGTTGCTGCTCACCTCACTTTCCCCTTTTTATTCAGTCTAGGATGCAGCCCATGGAATGGTGCTGCCCACATTTAGGGTGTATTTTCCCCATCTTAATTAACTTAATCTAGAAAATCCTTCACAGGCATGCCCAGAGACTTGTTTCCACAGTGACTCTAAATCCCCCCAAACTTGACAGTCCCAGGGTTCTCCAGAGAAACTCATGTGTGTGTGTGTGTGTGTGTATGTGTGTGTGTGTGTGTACACATGTAATGATTTGTTACGGCTCACATGATTATGGGGGCAGTAAGTCCCACCATCCTGCTCTGTGCAATCAGGAGTCTCAGAAAAGCCAAGGTGTGTAATTCTAGTCCAAGCCCAAAGGCCCGAGGACCAGGTAAGCTGAGGGCATAAGCCCCTAGTTAGAGCCTGAGGGGCCAAGAGTCAGAAGTGCTGATGTCTGTGGGTAGAAGGTAGAAAGCCCAGCTGAAGAGAATCTCTGCCTTTTTGCCCTCAGGGCACTGGATGATACCCACCCACATAGGTAAGGGAAAGTTTTTCACTCAGTCTACTGACTGAGCTGCCAACCTCTTCCAGAAACACCTTTGTGGACACAACCCAAAATAATGTTTTGCCAGCTGTCTGAGCATCCTGTAGTTTGGTCAGATTGGCATGCAAAATTAACTAAAATGCTAATATCTCATGTGGAACATTTTTAAGTGATTTTGGTTTTCGAGGAACCACTATTACTGCATTTTTCATAGACACATCAAAGAGTTTCTTATTTATTTGTGTCACAAAAAATTGAGTGGAAGGAGAAGCAGCAAGAAAATTCAAGGCAACACAACATTGTGAGAAACAAGGAAATACTGACTTTGAAACTGTACTGACCAGGTTCTTATGGCAGCTACTAGTGCTGACTAACATCCAAGACTGTGTGTCCTTCCTCCTTTCCTAACATTTTGCATCTGCTGATTTCCTTTTGACCTGAAGCTAGTACCCTTATTCATCTGGCTGTGGTCCCAAACCATGGGCTGTTACCAGCTACATGGGGACTTTTTGCTTTATCTGGGCAGAAGTCATGATCAGCAAGGAGGTCTTCCAGTGCTGATCCTTGGCAGCCTTTGTAACCCTTAGTGTTTGACAGCAGTGAGCAGTGGTAGCAGACCACTGGGAACAGCAGCAGGTGGTGCCCTCCGGTGTTTTCTTCTAGTCTTGAGCACCTGAACCCTTATGCCTGTGATGATGTGTCACAGTTGTTTTAAGGTCTAGAAAGTTGGATTCTTAAGTTCTTGATAGCAGCTGGCACTGCAGGTTCCAGGCTTTGGCACTGGTATTGTCTAGTCCTTGACAGCAGCCAGTGATAGCTGGCCAGCCTGAGATCCTTGGCCTTTAAGGCCTGACAGATCTCTGAAACTCTTCTAATGGTCAGGACCTGCATTTTCTCTTCTCTGGCTTTCTACAGCTCTCTATCCTCAGTCAGCTTCAGCTCTCCACCCTGTCTTCCTTCTTTCTACTCTGGCTTCACCTCATTCCTGCTGTGCTCACTCCTGAATTGCTCGGCTGCCTCTTGTTGTGGCTGCTTTCATGCACTCATGGCAGGTACAGCAGAATTCTTTTTTCTGCTGTTTCAGCTGTTTCTGCCACCGTTTCTGTGTTTGCTCTGTTGCCAGCTCCCATTGGCTGCCATAGCTCTGTTGCTTGTCTCATGGCTCCACTACTTGTATAGCTAGGCTGCTCTGCTGCCATGGCCAACACCTCTTACTCTGTACCAGATCAGACCCCTCTGCTAATGATGGTTATCACAAGTAGGGAAGACAGACTCAGAAAGACAAATTTCATGTTTTCTTCTCATATGCAAAAACCTAGATATAAAATTATATGTGTGTGTGCCTGTAATGAAATTAGAAAAGGGGATCATGAGAGGAGACAGCTCTAAAGGGAGGGTAAAAAGAGAGGGTGATGGAATCAGAAGGGGGACTTTGTAGGAGAAGGAAGGTAACCGGGGACAAGGGACATGGGGCAGGCAGTGGGGAAGAGAAATGAATTACAACAGAGTATAATGGTAGATATCTATAAAAAGATATAATGATGAAACCCCTTATTTTTTTATGCTAACCTAAAAATTAAAGAAGAATGAGGCAAGACCACGAGAGTCTTTAATTGGGCCTAATAGTTGCAATACTTGGAGGAGGTGTAGGAAGGCACCTGTTAGCCAGCTCACAAAGTGAGCTCAGCAGTTTGCTTATATAGCCAGCCAGAAAAGGGCTGTTAATACCAGTCACCTCTGACTTTCCTGCAAATGAAGGATTATGTTTGCATCAATCATGACACTGTTCCTTTTGTACCAGTCACAAGAGCCCCTCTTCCAGGTCACCAGTGACGTGCCCCCGATCTGGCCTGGGTGGAAATGGTTCCAGGCAAAGTCTGGTGCAAGCTAGTTGAAACAGTTCTGGCTGGGCCTTCATCTCTAGGAGGTGAAATTGTGCTTTAGCAGCAAATGGCTGCAATTACTATATAGCTTCCTCAACATGTGTAGAATGTTGTAAGTAGCCAGTGCTGGCACCAAGGTAGCTCCGCTGGCTCTTTGGCTGATAGTTCTTTTCTCAAGGCAAGAGTAACAGCTATAAATTAGGGAGTCATACCCCTTCATCCCCCTCCCCCATCTTCATTTCCAGGATATAATAAGCAGGAGTGATGACAGTAAGAAGTTATTGACACTAATTTTAGCAGTGCTTTGAACAATACTCAACACCTGCTCAGTGCCCCAGGGAGCTGTGGCTTGCCCTGGTTGGTCTCACCACTATCAACCATGCCAGACCTGTGGGTTCGGTAGTGCATTTATGTATATATTTATGTGTTTTCTGAATGTTTACCTTCCCCTTTGCTCCTATTTCTGCTTCTGGGTCAGGTCAATTTTCTTGGGCTGTTTCAACAATTCCTAACAGCCAGCCGGCCAGTGAGTCCCCTCAGCCTCATATCCTGTTTGCCTGCTTAAAATTCCTGTTTCCTCAATGATTATCAAAATAACAGTGTCTTAGCTGGCTCCTGGAGGCCTCCACTTAAAGGCACCAGATTACCTTTTACATTTAATGTTACCTTCCCTTGGACAATCCTGAAAGGGGCTGTAAATTCTTCCCAACTCCTGGCCTTTATTCTTTGCGAAAGAGCTTTTTCTGGCAGTTCTCTAGGGCCTATACCACCACCCCCCCACACACACACCAGAAAACGTCTTTTTAGGCTGTGCTCTGAACTTTGTATCCCTGCTTATGTTTAATCATAATCAGTTTCTTTTAATATAACATGTGTGTACTTACCTTATCGTTCCTACCGGTTATAATGTACTTGAAAGGGCAGACTTAATCATTCATCTTTTTCTTCTCCTGAAAACTAACTTTTGTTGTGGTTTTGCTAGTTGGACTTCGATCAACAGTTGTGTAAAGCACTAAAATAAGTATTTCCAATAGGAAAGATCAAACTTACCCTATTTATCAGACACGGGGTAAAGCTATGCAGAGAAAACATTACGTGTATACAAAAAATATATACATTTATTACTCATCATTTTGCTAGTATGGCTTTATTCTATAATGAAGGCTACGAAAGGGTGGACATTACTTTTTATTCCAAATTTTCACCTAAAAAATTAGTTGTGTCCCACATTCGACGCTAGAAAAACCCTTCCACAGTTCTGAAATTGAGACGGTGCCTGAAAGCCAGGGCAAACGCTTCGAAGTTTGGAGGCGGGAAACTGTTCCCAGGCACCGGAGACGCCTGACTCCTTGCAGCTCGCGGAGCCAGGCGGGTGAGGGCGGCGCAGTCCCGGCTTCCCACTCCAGGAACTGGAAGGCCGTTCCCGCGGACCCCCTGTCCGGTGGGGAGCGTTCCCGGCCTCAACCGCGCGCGCCCTGCTCCCAGTTGGGCCTGCGGGAGCAGCGGGCGGCGCGGGCGATGGTCTGGGTCCCCGGTGGAAGGCGCGGGCCGGGTTTCCAGGTGCGGGGCAGGAAAACAACCGGTCAGCCCAGGCGGGCAGGGCGAGGGCGGAGGGCGCATTGCTTCATCCCGGGCATTTTACTGGAAACCAGACGCATCCGGAGGCGGGGCGGGGAGGCGCTCGGGCCCCGCCAATGGCGGGGCGGGGCGCGGGGGAGGCCGGCGAGCGCGGCCGGTTAAATAGCCGCGCCGCCCCGGGGCGCGCCCGTGCCCGCCTTCGCCTTCGCCTTCGTCCGCCACAGCCGCTGCCGCAGCCGCAGCCAGTCGCTGGCACTTGCCTGGGGACCCCGAGGCCGGGAGCATGATCGTGGACAAAGTGCTGGACGACAGCCGCGGCGGAGAGGGGCTGCTGGACGGGGCCGGCGACAGCGGCCTCATGACCAGCCCGCTCAACCTGGCCTACTTCTACGGCGCCTCGCCGCCCGCCGCCGCCCCGGGCGCCTGCGACGCCGGCTGCCCGTCTGCGGGGCCCTCGGCGCCCGGCTCGCCCGGCTCCGACTCCTCCGACTTCTCGTCCACCTCTTCTGTGTCCTCTTGTGGGGCCGTCGAGTCCCGTCCGAGAGGCGGCGCCCGCGCCGAGCGCCCGTCAGGTACCCACCGGCCCGGGAAGGCGGGCGGCGGGAGCACGGCGCCGGTGTATTCGGGGTTCACACGCCCGGGAGAACGGGCCAGACTTGAGGTGCCTGGACAGGATGTTAATCGGCCCCTGCATGGGCCTTAGCTGCGGGACAGAAACAGTAGCCATGGAGTGACTGCCAGATGTCGTGCCCTAGTCCACGCACTGATGATGCCCTTGACTTGCGGAGTCCTGAGCCTTGGGCCTCGGAGTCTAAGTACCGTGCAGGGTAGAACTCGGGCTCTTTGGGGGGAAAGATTATGAGAGTCTCAGATTCTCTTTCTCCCATCTTGTTCTTCTCATTTTCACTTCTCTCTCCCCTCTTCCTCCCAGCCTACAACCTCATTGAGAAATAACACATCATGGTGAGGTTTGGAGTCAGATGGAGCTGTAATTTTCTTCTTGTGGCTTTTGTAGTGAAAAGCAGTGGCAGAGTTGATAAACCTTTGAGAGCTGGGTTTAAAGCCACAGCTTATATCTGACAAATCTTTGTAGAAATCTTAAGTAAAAAACTTTGCCGTCAAAGGAAAGATGTAAGGGGGAGGAAGGGAGTGGGGCGTAGGGGGTGTCGGAAAAGTGATTCAGTTCCTGCCTTAGTTGGTGATATTGGAGCATCATGGGCCTGCTCAGAATTTTGGTGCCTTGTTTTTTATGTGCTTTAGAACGAATGGAAAAAGTTAAGTGTAGCAAAGAAAAGCATATTATCCCTTTCTTTAGTTGCTTAATTTCTTTATTTCCTTTCTTCATGAACCGAGTTGAATTGCATAATTTGGGGAAAACAGGATACCATCAAGGATAGATTTAAAGAAGACGTAGGTTATCTCAATTGCTGAGCTTCTCAGTGTTTTGGTTTTAAAGAAGACTCCTTAGGTTGTTCCCCACTGCTGGCCACTCCTGTTTTCGATGCCTTTTATTTTCTTTGAAATGATGTGACCAAAGCAACAATGCCCAGTATAGCCTATTTAAGAAGTACATGTTCGTTTGTTAGCAGCGGTTTCTGCCGGCCTTAGGACCTTTGGCCTCCATCTAGCTGAACCTATTTTCCTGGTTTACCACACAGCCACAGGGGATTCCTGAAACTGCATTTTTACCCCCTGTGATGGCATGGAATTAACTGTTGTCATTCCACAGGAATGCTTTTAGATTCCGGCAATTCTGGTGTCTGTTGAAATCCCTAAACTTAAATGCTAAGACCAGCTAATCACTGTATTTATCCTAGCACCCAGTTGTATATCTCATGGATTTCTGATATAGTCATGTTATGCATTATTGTTCCTTCTTAATTTTCCACTCTGGACAGTGGCCCAATTATTCATTTCCTGACATTTTTGAATGTTTGTGTTCAATGAGTATGTCGGGAGGTTATAACATAATGTGGCCCAGAGTAGATGACTGTACTCATATGGTACATTTTAAAGTGCATTCTGAAGTTGCAGTGTGAACAAGCCTGTTTCCTTTTTACTTAGAATGCCTGTGTATGCAATTCTAAGACCTGTAAATGAGGGGGAAATCCTGTGTGTGTATGTGGAAATGTGCTCAATGGATTTAAGAACTTTCTTGGAACGGATGAATTAAGGGAAATACTTAGCAATCTAAGACATTGCTAATTGCTAGGCTTTAGTATGAGATCTTTTGAAGATGTTGTTTTGTTACTTCCTAGGTGAGGGAATAGACTTTATAATTTCTAGATGAACAAAAAGACTTTGTTTTAAAAACTACAGATGCGTCATTTGTACTCTGCTCCCCCAAGGATTTCTCAAAAGTCAAGAATAATTATCATCCTGGCAAAATCTCTGATTCTATTTCATGAGTAAATAGAGGCTTTATTTGGGTGTGGCTCTTGACTCCAAGGATCCCCAACCACATCTGACTACATATGAACGAGTTTTAATTCCTCTGGGTGCCAGGTAGGGCAGTGAATCAGGCCGTACAAGAACCTTTGAGAAGTACTGGATCCTGATGATGCAAATCCATTGACCAAGTGGAGTTGGAAAGACTTTGCAGTCTGCTGCTTGAGGGCTTTATACATAAGGCAGCTATGCTTTGGGGGCTGTTGTGGGTCATGTCTATGAGATGTAATTGATGACATTTTCTTTCCTTTTGAACAGTTGAGCCCCATATGGGGGTTGGCAGGCAGCAGAGAGGACCCTTTCAAGGTGTTCGAGTGAAGAACTCCGTGAAGGAACTCCTGCTGCATATCCGAAGTAATAAACAGAAGTCTTCTGGCCAAGCTGTGGATGATTTTAAGGTGGCACCTGCTTTTTTGTTTTGAATGGTTTAGACATTAGTCTTCCAGGGTTATTATTCTTTGCTAACCTGCCAACTTAGATCCAATAAGTCACGTGCAGTGTTTGGTAGATGACAGAGTCCACAGGACAGGCTCAATAGAGACCAATAGGTCTCATTGTTTACTGTGTTCATGTCACCTAGCTCATTGGCAGGTGTGTACTTAATGAGTGAACAAATGAAAGCAGTTTAGTAACAAGGAAGTTCATAGGGTTCAATTAAAGCAGAATGTTTTGATTAGAAAGGAAAGAATCAGAGGGTCTTATTAATTTATCTTGACCTGGACTGAACAAGGTGAAAGTGAAAATGGAGAAGTTGTGAGATCGAGTGAGACTCCAGATAGCTACTCTCATCAGTTTTTTTTTATGTCATCAGAGATTTATGGTATGCTGTAAAGAGTGGTAGAGATAAATCTTTAAGTGGGAAACCATTTCATATGTACTAAATTGGAATCTTTTCCCTTACAGACACAAAGTGTGAACCTTGAGCAATTTACAGGTAAGAGCTGCTTCTATATATTCACAAATCTATCAGCATTTTAGAGGAAAATAACAGTGTGGTTATAGTGAAATTTGTAAAGTAAAATCACCACAGATTCCATATTTCTCCCTTGGGTACAGAATTGAAGAACCCAGTGTCCTACAGTGGAAAAAGAAAGGGGACTGATAGTCTGTCTGATGGACCAGTTTGCAAAAGGTCAACACTGTTGCCTACTCAGTTTTTGGTAAGAATCTCACTGTTTTCCTCTAAACACCCATTGGATAACATTAGAATAATGTTGCTATTTTAAAAAATTATTTTTTAGTGCTTGAGACCGAACCCTATATGTACTCTACCACTGAACTCTTGCCCTTAGCCTTTGTAATTCTTTTAGGAGGAAGTGGTTGTAAATGTTGTATTTTATTTCTTTCCAGACATCACCTCAAACACCAACACCTGGGGAGAGCATGGAAGATGCTCATCACAGTGAATCCAAATTGGGGAGCAGTGCTGATCTGCTTCAGAACATTATAAATATTAAGAATGAATGCAGCCCAGTTTCACTGAACACCGTCCAAGTTAGCTGGATGAGCCCTGTGGTACCTCAGAGTTCCCCTGGAGACCAGTACCAGGACTTCCATGGAGGGCAGGTCTTCTCTCCACCTCAGAAGTATCAACCGTTCCAAGTCAGCAGCTCTCCACAAATGATGGAGCAGGCGTCTATGTATCAGTATTCTCCACAGAACCAGAATATAGAGCAGCAGCAGCAGCAGCAGCACTATTCCCACAACCCAGCTCTGCAGTTCAGTCCTTATTCTAGGACATCCCAATCCCCCAGCTATGAACCAAACCTCTTTGATAGTCAAGAACCACAGTTCTGCCCAAGCCAAAGTTTTGTATCCCTTCTAAGTAGCCATGGGGAATCTGAGAACACTGCTGTTCCCATTCATTCTTCCCCTAGTGTCCAGCAACAAAATGAGGCTCATCTGCAGAACTTTAGCATGATGCCAAACAATGCCTGTGAGGCACTGGGGGTGCATGGTGCAGGTTCAACCCCTTTGAGCACTTCACTGTCCTTACCGAACATCATTGGAGGCCCCATGAACACCACACAGTTAGGGAAATCATTTTTTCAGTGGCAGGTAGAGCAGGAAGAAAGCAAGTTGGCAAATATTTCCCAAGAGCAGTTTCTTTCGAAGGATGCAGATGGTGACACGTGAGTATCCTTTTACTGCATATACTATTGCATATATGTAATTTGATCAACCACACTTAACACCTAGTAGCCATAGAAGGTTTCTAGATTTATACTAAGAAACACCTTATTAGTTGATATAATGATAATTAATATTTTTTAATTTTTATTATATTACATGTATGAATGTTCTGCATGCACGCACGTGCGTGTGTGTGTGCGTGTATAAGTGCACCATATGTGTGCAAATGCCATAGAGGCCAGAAGAGGGCATCAGATCCCTTGGAACTGGAGTTATAGATGGTTGTTAGCCATGATGTGGGTTCTGGGAATTGAACTCAGGTCCTCTGCAAGAGCAGCCAATGTGCTTAACCACTGGGCCATCTCTCCAGCTCCATAATTAATATTTTAAGCAAAGGTATTCCATTTATCTTTTTTTCCTGAAAGAATAAAAAATATGTGTACTTCTTAGAATAACTTGTTTTGAAGGCTAGTGTAGGTAATGTCTATAGAGAAGAAACAATTAGATCATGACTAGGCATAAATTATAAGTTGATCTGTAGGCTGGATCTGCTCTGTCCTGATGTCTTTGTGGCATTGGGCAAGTTATTTAAAATATCTGTGCCTGTATTTCTTTTGTAAAATAATAATGTTTCTTTCATAGAATTTTTATGAGTATGAAAAATGTAACAGATTTAAAATGCTCAGCATTCCCTCTTATTCTAACTTACTCTGTTGTAATTCAGATTATCAATGTAGCCGAAAAGACAAGTTGTACTCTGTGATGTTTCATCTGAGTGTTTCAGTATATCGAAAGGGTGAAGGAAGTTTTTTTTTTGTTTTTTTTTTAAAAAATAAACTTAGTGAAATCAGAAGTGATTCCCTCTTTTCCTCATTCACCAGGTTCCTCCATATCGCTGTTGCCCAAGGGAGAAGAGCACTTTCCTATGTTCTTGCAAGAAAGATGAATGCACTTCACATGCTGGACATTAAAGAGCACAATGGACAGGTGAGGATGTTAACTGTGGTCAAGATGTGGTCACAGTGACGTGAGTTTCATGTGCACATTATTTCAGGGCTCAACAGTGAGACTTCAGTTAATATTAACTCTGAGATACTGACTTTTTGCCACCATTAACCTTGAAGTTATTAATGTTAACTTTGTAGTTGTTTGACCAAAGATTGAGTATAATTAAGCCTCACCTTAAGCTTGTTTTAGTTTCCCATCTTGCTGTGTTTGATTGTTTATTAAAAGGATTTATTTTCTCTATGTGGGCTTTCCCCTTAGTCATAGTTTAGTTTCACATTTCTTGTTATGATAGTGTTACAGGTTTAATTTTTTTTTCTTTAAATGTCCGCAGAGTGCATTTCAGGTGGCAGTGGCTGCCAATCAGCATCTTATCGTGCAGGATCTGGTGAACCTTGGTGCCCAGGTGAACACCACAGACTGTTGGGGAAGAACACCTCTGCATGTCTGTGCTGAGAAGGGTCACTCCCAGGTGCTCCAGGTAAGAGACCAAGGAGCAGGCTTTCATCATTGCAGCGCCAAAGGCACGGGGCTTGGATGTAAGAAGTTGTGTGAAGGCTCCTTGCTAAAATGATCAGTTTTGAGTGGATTTATTCATATCTTAGCACACTAGTACATGAATATTTGTGTATCTTGTCTTTGGCTAATGGATGTGTATTATAAAATTTTGCAGGCAATCCAGAAGGGAGCAGTCAGGAGCAATCAGTTTTTGGATCTTGAGGCAACTAACTATGATGGTAAGCAACCGAAAATTTATTGGATAAAGAACCATGTAGAAAGTGGGGCCCATGAATGCTGAGAGTACTGTTGTGTTAAGAAAGAAAATTAATTTAAGCTAAAATGTTTCATAAAATTGGCACTAGAACTGACAGGAGGATGTATACAGATGGCCTTTCTAGGTTTTATGGAGCCCATTTGTAGGTGAAATGAGGGGCCACCCTCAAGGTAATTATAATGACTTGATGGGATGCTTTTTCCTAGGTCTGACTCCCCTCCATTGTGCAGTCATGGCCCACAATGCTGTGGTACATGAACTTCAGAGGAATCAACAGCCTCATTCACCTGAAGTTCAGGAACTTTTACTGAAAAATAAGAGCCTGGTTGACACCATTAAGTGTCTGATTCAGATGGGTGCGGCAGTGGAAGCAAAGGTAAGTTCATGGCAGAACTTCGAGATGGCGTGGGAGAGGCCTGGCTGTGGCAAAGGCCCGGCTTGGGAGTACAGATCAAATCTGCTTTCTCTTGCTTTTAAGCCGATGTAGTGAATAGCAATGTATGGGCAGTTAAGAAGCTTAGCTTTTAAAATTCTTTAACCTGCTTTCTTGATTTCCTTTTAATCTGTGGATTATCATTCAAAAAAATCATTTAGCTGTGAAATAAATTAGTCTTTGTTTTGAAAGGGAGGGGGAAGAATTTGAAATTATAGCTCTGTGTAGTGACCACAGGGGACTACATAATAAATGGGTTTTGATATAATACATGTTAAGACAGTAACACTTAATATTTCTACATTTTTATGGTTATAGAAAAATAGACTGATAAGAAGGAAGTAGATAAACTAACAGGGAACACAAGAGGAGTAAGAGATTCTGCTTACCTTGGGCTTCAGGAAGGTTTTGTGGAGAAGACGACATCTGAACTTTGTCTTCACAGCTCTTCAGATATTTGTGAGAGGGCATATTCTAAAGCACAGTGTCTGCATTTTCACGTTTTGCCTTTCTTGCCTTTACAAGGATCGTAAAAGTGGCCGCACAGCCCTGCATTTGGCAGCAGAAGAAGCAAATCTGGAACTGATTCGCCTCTTTTTGGAGCTGCCCAGTTGCCTGTCCTTTGTGAATGCAAAGGTAATTCTAGAAAGCTTCAGTGGTGCCAGAGTTGGAATGACCTTCTCACCTTCAGGATTTGAGCTCCTTTTCATGAAATTTCCCCCTTCCTGATGTGTGCTATTTGACTTGTCTTCAGGCTTACAATGGAAACACTGCCCTCCATGTTGCTGCCAGCCTGCAGTATCGGGTGACACAGTTGGATGCAGTCCGCCTATTGATGAGAAAGGGAGCAGACCCGAGTACTCGGAACTTGGAGAATGAGCAGCCAGTGCACTTGGTTCCCGATGGCCCTGTGGGAGAACAGGTGAGGCTCACAGGAGGGATGTGAAGTTCCTCAGGCACATTGGTCTGAAATGTAGAGAGGGAGAGGGTGTTCGGGGTATGGGTGGCTGGTGCGCTACAGGTAGGCGCTACCATTTTCCAGAGCCCACAGTTCTCACTGTAGCACTTTGCAGTTAACTGCTTTATTTTCAAAAGGATATGTAAGGAACTGGAGAGTATTATCGTGGACCCAGAATAGTCAAGTCAGGTGGTCTGTTTTTCTCTGCCATGACACACACTTGGGTTTAGATAGAATGGTTCGTTCAAGGTTTGGAAGTTGATGGAAGAGGAGGTGCCAAGGAAAGGAATCACTGGTAGGCTATGAGCCTTCAAAACATTGTATTCAATGAGTTAATATCTGTAGAATGGCTCTTTGGAACTTAGACTACCAGGATAGTTTGTGACAGTTTTCATGAATATCATTCTATTTAAAAGTTATAAAAACTTTGTAGTGTGAACGTTAAGCTGAGAAAAGAGAGGTTCTGAGGATAGGCACCATTGTTAGTAATAAATGGCCAGGTTTTGAGCCCGGCACTTGCAGCTTCACTCTTTGAGGTGGACACTCATATACCAATGCTCCCAGGCCTCATGGAGGCCTGTTTGGCTTTTCACCAAATACACTTAGAGCACTCTCCTTTTTGCTTTTGTGTTGTGTGGGCCATAGGGCCATAGGGGCAGGGACAGAGTCTTTTCCTGTCCTTTATTGTCAGGCTGTGGTCACTGCATCTGTTCCCTTTTGGCAGCCATAAGCTGCCACCACAATCGTCTTTCCTCTAAGTTGTTGCTTCTAATTTGTTGTGGGCTGAGAGATATCAAAATTTGTCTGACTGGAATATAAAACTAATTGTTCTATATGAGTCTGGGGGCTTTCCTGTGATCTATAAAGTTACACACAAACACTTGAACATTTGGATATTGTGACAGCTGTTTTAACTAAGAGGCCATCGAGATGCACTTGAGTGTGTATAAGGTATATTTTTTACATTCTTATTACATACTTATTACTTGAACTAGCTTCATGACAAGTGAGATATTCTAATATACCATAATTGCTGCCACACAGTATATCTTCTCACAAACAGCAAAGATTAGCAAAGGAAAAAAAAAAGATTAGCAAAGGAATACAGACCTTGTTTCAGTTGTCAATTTTTCAACCACAGATAATTCTAATGGAAATGCCTTCCTGTGTTATACTCAGTCATCATTACAGGAAACCTGATATCAGCTTTAAAAGCTTTATTTTTAAAAATCGTGACAATTACTGTGCATATTTCTTCAAGTTAAGAGTTTTGTAGAGGGTTTAAAGAAAGGAGTGGAACCCTGAAGGAAACATGCCACTTCAATCATGAGAAATCAACATCATGATTCTTTCTCTTCTAGATCAGACGTATCCTGAAGGGGAAGTCCATTCAGCAGAGAGCACCGCCATACTAGCTCCATTGCGTGGAGCCTGGCCAGCAATACTCACTGTCAGTTAGGCAGTCCTGATGTATCTGTACATAGACCATTTGCCCTGTATTGGCAAATGCAAGTTGTTTCTATGAAACAAACATATTTAGTTCACTATTATATAGTGGGTTATATTAAAAGGAAAAAAGAGAAATATCTAATTTTCTTGGCAGATTTGCATATTTCATACCCAGGTATCTGGGATCTATACATTTGAATTTGATCTGAATGGTAAAATTGCCTTCAATGAACAGTAGTTTTGGGGTAGGAAAAGACTTGATTTGTGGCATAATGCATTGCTCAGGTAGCTATTGCCAGTTTCAAAGCAGGTGGATTGTAAACATTTCTTCAAGAAAAATGAAAGCATTTGAAAGGAAAAAATAAAACCACTTGGCTATACTGTTGAGGTTTCTCTTGGCTTGATGCAGTACTGGGTGGTTATTGCTCTCATCTGTGGGCAAGATGAGAGGTGTCTGTGGTTAGGATTTGTTGTATATAATTGTTATTTTTACCTTTAATATATTGTATATATTTGATTATTAACATGACTATTTGAAATATGTAAGTCAATAAAGTAGAAAAGAACTAGTGACTTGGTAACCATTTTTTAAAAATTATGCACATTCAAAGGAACTGTTATTGTGTAATAACAACTATAGTCCACAGATAAAACAAATTGGGAGTTGGTCCCTAAGTCTCTTGTGTTTGATTTTCCAATAGGCTTCTCATGCATTGAAATGAGACACACCTGTAGGTTATTCTGTGTTCTTGAAGAAAACCTCTTTATGGATCCCTTCTAGAATTTGTGATTTATACAAATTGATGTGTTAAAGTTTTTGGTTTTTATCATCATAGAAACAACAAACATTTAATATTGAGACTTGTCTTCCTGTTTTCTTTTGTCGAATAGTAATAATGTGCCATGATGTTTATATTATTCATAAAAATGTTTTACCTTTAAATAATGTTAATTCTTTTAACATTATTTTGCTTACATCTTCTGGTATAGCTGGAGGAATGTATTGGCTTCAGTTATTCACTAATTCTTGTGATAAATAAGACTCATTAAAAATGATATATCTTAATTGATTAACTTATCTTTGTTGCAAAGTACATTCTTTTAAAACAATATGCCCTTTGGATTGATCACATTGCTGAATCTAGTATTTCTTATGGATAAAGTTAGATATAGTCACTTGGCCATCTATACGTAGGTGGGATGGAAACAGTCCATTCACATCGAAAAACTCATGTATGGTTTTAAATGAACATTAATAAACTCATGTTAAGTTATACATTTTCTTTTCCTAGTGCCTTATTTATATTTGTGTAGGTAGAAAAGTACTATTTTGCAGTACTGAGGATTGACTCTGGCAAGCACTTTACCACTGAGCTATATTCCCAGTCAAGAGAAGTATTATTAATGACAGATTCTTAATATCTTTGAATTACTTAATGTATATTTTTGGATTTTTTTTGAGAATATGTTTCCTAAAGTTATATATCTTTTAGCACCAAAACGTGGAAGTTAAATAGACACTGTTGACTACTCAGAAGTTGATATGTTAAGAAAAGGCGAGCAGGAGCAATGAACAAGGAAGAGCTGTTGGGGTATTACCAGGATCATCCTGAGAGGGACACAACTCTCAGAACAGTACTAAAGAGGGAGTTCTTCCTTTTTGCAACATGTCATTTAGACATTAGAACAAACACATCAACATCTCTGTCAGCATCAGTCACCGCAGTGACTGGACGGATATCCTAGTTACTACAGTTCTTTTGAGCACCTGATGAAAGCTATGGATTATTTCCCTGGAAAATGCACATAGGCACACATACACAAGGGTTTGTACAGTATTGGGCTTTGCAGCCCCAGAAGACCGTGACTCACAGGCTGAGTGTTTAGCTCTATCTCTGTATAAAAAATACAGTTTTTCTTTTGTATGAGTGAATTCTTAAGTATAGTTTGCAAATGCACACTGATAGATGACTGGAGCAGAAGGAACAGTACACCCTGCTGAACATACCTACACAGCAAGCATTTCCAAATGAGGTGAAATGTTCTCAGGTCCCAATTCTCTGAATCAGTTGAACCATTGTTTAACAAGGATGTGTGCATGTGTATGTGTGTGTACATGTGTGTGCGTGCAGATGTGTGATGAATAATATGAGGCATAGACATAAAATTTAGCCTTAAGATGCTCATGTGAGGCATGCCATGCATTATTGGGTAGACCTGGTTAAGTACCATTTTAAAAGTGTCAGAGATTCAGAAAGGGAATTCACATCTAGGGGGAATTCAAGGTTGGATATTTGGACTAGATCTTCAGAAAGAGAGAAGGCAGGTAAGAAATAGAAAACAACATGAAACCCAGGCATGTTTTGTGTGGAAATACCAGGTGATTTCAATGTAGTTTGGTTAGCATTTAGGACAGTCAAGAATTTCAACTTGTGTTCTCCATCTGACTGGTAATCTCATGAGTATCATGCTGAGAAAGATCCTCAGACTTTCTAGGGGCTTGCTGGGAGGAAGTACTATGAATATCCGCCCCAGGGTGTGAATGGTAGCTCTTGATGGAACACTCCACGACTGGGCGCTCATTGTTGCGGCCTCATTGCCTAGTGCAGTGAGTGGTTCATGGTAGGAGCTCACAAAATACTGGTTAAATGAGTGAATGAGTATGTGCCGGACTTGGTTAGAATCAGTTTTTTTTGGCCAGGGCAGGGGAAAGGTAAGCCATGAACCAGGGTTCACTATTAATAATAGGGTTTACTATTAATGAGTTAATAGGGCTGGAGAGATGGCTCAGCAGTAAGAGCACTGGCTGCTCTTACAGAGGACCTGGGTTTCGTTCCCAGTGCCCACATGGTGGCTAACATCCATAACTTCAGTTCCAGGGGATCTGATGCCCTCTTCTGACCTCTGCAGATTTGCATGCATGTGGTGCACTTACATACATGTAGGCAAAACACTCATAAAAAATGGATAGTACAGTTTTGAAAATAATTTAGCTATATAATTTTATATCAATCATAAAAGAAAAAGGGTTGAGTTGGACACAAAAATATTTTTTTTTTTTTGTGCATCAGTCTGTCCAACTTTGTGAAGAACTAACTCCAGTACTATAGTTTGGTATTGACTAAAGAGTCCCCCAAAAGTCACACATCAAGTTTTCCAGCTTTTGTTAGTCAAATCAGTGACATTTAATACCAGGAGTAGAGAAGCCCCTTAAACCCTTCTGGCTTTTGGGAAATTCAACTTCTTAAACATAGTGCTATTGACTTCCATTTTCTGGTAGCATTATTTGTTCTATTAGTAGAGTGAGAGACCTCAGGGAGAAATCAACCTCAAGCCCTGGCAAAGTTCTTGATGTTTGCTGTGAGGTCAAGTCAGGGTACTAAGTTTGAGCTTAGAACTGTGCTGCTGGGGTTTTGGTCTTCCTGCTAGAGCCCTGGCTTAGGTGGTGAGAGAAGGAAGGGGAATGTCTTATCACCAGAGGCCTTGCATAGTCTATGATACATGCTAGACATTCAGTAACTAATTTTTACATTGAAACTTACGGCTTTTAAATACATTTTCCTTGACATAATTTATACTTCAAAGTTATTGTATCGTTTACATGGAGTGCATGCTTTAATTCAGAAACACTTTAATGCTTCCACTGCACACAGATCTGGTTTCACTTTTTTTCTTAGGCCTCACTGTCCACTGTTCAGTCTGCAGCATTGCATGGGTGATGCATTTCTAGGAGCAGTGACTCGATTTCTCTCAAAGCTTGTCTTATTTTCACAGATGTATTTGTCCCCTTGCATATCACCCCAGGAGATTTTGGGGGTGAGAATAGCCCAGTGGTCCAGCTGCTTAGTGACTGGGGTTCAGGGTTTCACTTGATGGATATTACCATCTTTTGTGAAGCTTGTTGGACATACAAATATCTAGAATTCTTGAATCAATTTCCTAGAGTTTCAGAGCTTGTGTCAGGTCTATGTGAAGTAGCATTTCATCTAAATTAATTGAGAAATGCAGACTTTAGAGAGTAGCTGAGCCTGAGGGTTGTTATAGCAACTCATGAATCCCTGCAACTTGCCAGGAGCATTGGATCCTGTGGCATTAACACTAGCTTTTTTTTTTTCCTGGTAGTAGTCTCTCTCTCTCTCTCTCTCTCTCTCTCTCTCTCTGTCTCTCGCTCTCACTCTCGCTCTCCTATCTGGTATACACATGCAGTAATGTAAGGCATGATTTTTTTTTTCAGTGACCTTCTAAAAAAGATATTTTACTATATAACATAGTATAGTTACACCTAACAATTTTTTTGGTGGGGTGGGTTTGAGATAGGGTCTTCCTGTAGCCTAAGCTGTCCTGGAACTTGTAGACCAGGCTGGCTTCAATCTCCCAGAGATCCACCTGCCTCTGCCTCCTGAGTGCTAGGTTTAAAGGTGTTTGCCACCATACCTGGCACACCTAACAAATTTAAAATTCTTTGATACTGTACTCACTCTCTGTTCATCCTACTGTAACTATTCCCTCTCCCCTGTGACTAGTTGTTGTTTTCAAATCGACACTCAAGCAAGGACACATATTTTATTATTAAATTTTGTAACATTTATTTGTGTATGTACTAGTTAGCTTTAACTGCCAACTTGACATAGCCTAGAGTCACCTAAGAAGGGAATCTCAATTGAGGGATTGCTTAGATCAGATTGGCCTGTGGGAATGTCTATGGGAGATTGTTTTGGTTGCCTTAATTGATGTAGGAGGGGCCAGACCACTGGGCAGCACCATTCCCTGGGCTGTATAGCAATGCATGAGCCTGAAAGAGACCCAGCAAAAAGCATTTCTCAATGCTTCAAGTTCCTGTTTGAGTTCCTACCCTGACTTCCCTCAGTGCTGGACTGTAACTTGTAAGCTTGTAAACCCTTTCTTTCCCTAAGTTGCTTTCCGTTAGAGTGTTTTATTACAGCAACAGAAGGGAAACTAGAATAGTGTGCTTTGGTACATGTACCACACTGCCCAGGTGGAGGCCAAAGGACAGCTTTTGGGAGCTGGTTCTCTTTTCCGTCATGTGGGTTTCAGGGATTGAACTCAGGTGGTTAGGGTGGTTCACTTACCTGCTAAACTGTCTCACTGGTCCTGATTATTATTTATTTTAATAGACAGTAGCTTTGAAGATTAAGTCATGAGCCTCCTAATCTCTGCTTTCAGAAAGTACTTTTCAGATAGTTCTGGTTTTAAGTTCCCCAAGTTTGCTAGGATTATAACAAATAACCCAAAATTTGGTGGCTTAAATAAGGGAAATGCATTCTGTTATGAATCTGGAGGTCAGAACTGTGCCCCTCCGAAGACTTTAAGGGATTTCTTATTGCCCAGTTACAGATCCTGGTGGCTCCATTTGTTCCGTGGCTTGTGACAGTGTAACTCTAATATCTGCCTCCTTCACAGGGCTGTCTCTTCATCCCGTTTCCCTTCTGTGTATCTCTTATAAGGATATTTGTCATTAGATTTAGAACCCACCTGAATAGTGAAAAGTCCTCTTCATCTCAAGGTTTTCTCTCTCTCTTGCTCTCTCTTTCTCGGTGTGTGTGTACTCATGTACCTGTGAGAATATGTATAAAGGCCAGAGGACAATCTCAGGTGTTATTGCTTAGGTGCTGTCTACCTTGTTTTTCAAGACAGGGTCACTTGCTGGCTCTGAACTCATCAATTAGGCTAGGATGGCTGGCCAGTGGGCCCCAGCATTGTGATTATAAACATGTATCACTCTACCATACTTTTTTACATGGGCTCTGGAGATCAAACCCAGGTCCTCATGCTTGTGTATCAAGCATTTTATCATCTGAGTTATCTCCCCAGATAATTAAGAAGGTTCTTAATTGCATGTGCAAAGACCCTTTTTCCAACTAAAGTAAAATTCATGGGTTCTGAGGATATATGAACATATCTTGGGGTGGAGGAGCACCATTTAGGTTGGTATCAGAGAAAGAGGACTTATAGCATCCTACCATTATTTTTCATAAAATTAATAAGGGGTGGAGGTAGGTAGGGGTTGGAGGGATGGGAGCGTAAGGTGAGGCTGGAGATGGGGGAGGGGTCTGAATAGAATCAAAATGCATTGTATGAAATTCTTGAAGCAACAAAATGTTTTTTAAAATTAATAAGATTAAAACTTAATTTTTAAACAAATTTATGTTATGATGCTGAGAATCCTTAATATGAGATCTGGTCTCTTTTAAAATATTTTATTTATTTTTAAATTTTATTTGTTATTTTTATTTTATGTGTATGCATGTATTACCT